AAATCCTACAAGGTGATTTTCTGGATTTTTTTTCTCATTTTGTCTCTCATAGTTGAGGTATACCTATGATGAAAATTACAGGCCTCTCTCATCTTTTTAAGTGGGAGAACTTGCACAATTGGTGGCTGACTAAATACTTTTTTTCCCCACTTGTATATACAACTACATATCTCCATACTGCAAAATGATGTTGAAATCTCACTCTCTGCTCTAACCTTTTCTTCCAGTGTGAGAAATGTCACCTGCACTTCCGTCATAAGAGCCAGCTGAGGCTTCACCTGAGACAGAAACACGGCGCAATCACCAACACCAAGATCCGCTACAAGGTTCTGGCAGACCCGTACCAACCTGGACCCACCCTGCTACAAGCTTGCTAAGAGGCATATCGAAACATCTCAGGCACCGTTGCTATATGCTCTCTCTGCGGATAGGTCACGATCTAAACGGAAGATTTAGGCTGAAGATTGATGGATCTATAAAACAGTATTGTAAAGAGTTTAAAGAGGTGGAGTGCTGCATTCGAGGACAGCTTGACTATAAATGTACCAATGAATACAGTCTTCCAAGAATGCAGTACTCCTGCGCTAGATGTGCTGACTATTATCTTTATTATTTGTTAGAATATGTTTATTTATTTTGCTTTGCATACTTTATTTTCCTCATGCTATTTAATCAGTTATTTTGTTGTCATATTGCCAGGAAAAATTGTGAAAATCCTTGTTAAAAACTATATACGGGCCTATTCAGATGGTAATTGTTTCTCTTGTGGAATGTGAGAGTATTATGATAAGGTGCTAAACAACTATCATCCAAATAGGGCTTAAGTCAGTAAAAACGAAGCATGTGATTTGAAAATACTTTAATAGATATGGAATTAAATGTTTGTTTGTTTTTTTTGTTTGCTGTTATGACAAAGATGGTTTGTGGCAGAGTGTGAAGGCGTTTATTAGGAGTTCAGATTTGAGTTGTAAGAGCTGAATGAAGGTGAAAATGTTTAGATATATGGAATTCTGCAAGAAAGTCGGAAAGATTATGAAAGAAAGACAGATGTAGAAAGGAAGTGTAAAGAAGGAATTAAGCATGTTTGAGAAAGAACAGATAAAAGATACATTTGTATGATTTTTTAAAAATTAATATGATGTAATTGTATTTATTTGTTTTGTGTTGTTTGTTTGTTTTGCCCAAAAGTATTGCTCTTATTTGTTCATGGATGCTTTCTGGTGTTTGTACTATATTCTGTTTCCTATTTAAGAAGATAACAGAACAGCCAGAATGGAAAAACGCAAATATAACCTTGTTTATTTACCAGTTATTCAGTATGTTAACGTACTAATTTAAAAGGCCTGGAGCCTATTTAAGTAACAAGAAGAAAAGTTGTAGATGACTAGCCTCTGTGTGTTATCTTCTTAATGATGCTTATGTTTAAGAGACCATTTCATGATTTTTATGGTGTATTATAGTTGCTAAGAGTCCAAGCAGGTTGAGGACTCACACTAGCCAAACTAATATACATGTAAAGATTGATGATGAGGATGATCATATCAACAATACTATGTTGCGCTCTTTTGCTGGACAAAGACAAGACCTATTTTATATAAATTAAAGTTAAATTAATTTCTCATTATTGTGTGTGTGTCTGTTACAGTGTTGTTATAGTATTATGACGATATTATTATAGTTTTTATTTTCTATTTTAATTTTGAAGTGTTAGTAATTTTGTTGTGTGTTGTTTTTTTAAACGAGTTTATACCGTTTTTATGAATTTTTTATTTCAGTTAAACATAATGAAAATACGTTTTTTTTTTTTTAGTTAACTATAATCACCTTGGTCAGCTGTTCTCATGCAATCCTAATTCTTTAAAATCACATGAACAGTGGGAAAGTCTCTCAATTATGGAACTAGTTAAACCTAAAAATAGTCAATCGAGGCACTTGCTAGTAAACTTAAATGTTTCAAATCTAACTTCAATGTCTGATTCTTGGAGCCCAGAAGAACAAAGAATTCACCTCTTAGCCCTTCCTTCCTCCGATTAGCTCACAACTTAGACCTGACTCACCCTAAAGTGTCTCAGCTTCTCTACGGGTGGTGCTGGAATAGGAACAATGGAGCAGCTGGCACCTGTTTCCGGTGTTAGACAAAAACTGGCCCCATGCACACACTACCTGTCTGGCCATATGTATGGAAGTTTTCCTCTTAGTTTGACCTAGGCGCACCACCCGCTGTTTCTTATTTTATCAATGATCAAACATTGAAAATGCTCACAGATCAGTGCTCTTGTGTGCTGAGAGTTCTGAGGTTTAGTCCTGTTCCTGCTTTCATCTGCTCCTGAAGGCAAACATGTGGCATGTGAAGATCGTTGTATGGCATTTTAACTAGATCACAGCTCACAAAGTTTTATACAGAACCAAACAAAACAACTATCAACATCAAGTTATATATATATAGTTTATCATGATGTTGATAGTTGTTTAGTTCGGTTCTGTATAAAACTTTGTGAGCTGTGATCTAGTTAAAATGCCATACAACAATCTCCACATGCCATATTACTTGTATAGTTAGGTCCATATATATTTGGACACTGACACTATTTTCATAATTTTGGCTCTGTATGCCACCAGAATAGAATTAAAATGAAACAATCAAGATGAAATTGAAGTGCAGATTTTAAGCTTTCATTCAAGGGGTTGAACAAAAATCTAACATAAAATGTTTAGGAATTACATCAATTTTTGAACACAGCCCCCCCCCCACACACATTTTCAGGGGCTCAAATGTAATTGGACAAATAAATAAAATGTTTATTTTTAATATTTTGTTGAGAATCCTTTGCAGGCAATGACTGCCTTAAGTCTGGAACTCATGGACATCACCAGAGACTGGGTTTCCTCCTTTGTGATGCTTTGCCAGGCCTTTGCTGCAGCTGACTTCAGTTGTTGTTTGTTTGTGCTTCTTTCTGCCTTTAGTTTTGTCTTCAGCAATTGAAAAGCATGCTCAATCGGGTTGAGATCAGGAGATTGACTTGGCCATTGCAGAATATTCCACATTGTTTTGTTGTATGTTCTTCTTTTTGAGGCTAGATGTTTTTTGCCTAATCTGGCCTTGTTTGCACCTTGTGCAAAAATAAAAAAGCAAAAAGCTAAACCTTTACAAAATGTTGTCTTTGAGAATGTCTAAATATATATCCAGATCCACAACTTAATAAAAATAAGTCTTTATGCCTAAAAACCCCCAGAGAGTTTATAAGCCTTTTATATAGAGCTATATAGGAATCTAGGCTAAACCATGGAATTGCAGATGTTTTCTTTTTTTACTCCCACCAGATGGCACTAATCTGACTTCAAAAATTGGATTTTAAAGGCATTGTCTCTATTTTAACATAGATCAAAAAGAAATATCAAAATCTTAGGGGAAAAAATGTTGTTTTCAATGTGGAAAAAAGTATCATAATTATTGCATAAATATTAATTAGCACCATGAAATTCTCTCAAAATACAAAAGAAAAAAAATATTATGGAACAAAAATATACTACGTTGATTTTACTGAAAATAAAAAAAGTTACATTTCGGGTGTTCGGTCAGTTTTGACCGCGAACAACACAAGTGTGACCCCCGAATGAACAATACCACAGGGTTAAAGAGCTGTAATTCCTTAACCTTTCCTCCAATTTAGATGAGAATACCCTCAGCTGTAACTTGAATAGGTTTTGGTCAACAGCTAAAAAATAAAAATTGTGCCTGTGTCCAAAAATATGTACAAAGGGGTTGTCAGGAAGATGGGAGTAGCTCTGAAGTGTTGGTGAGCACATACTGTATACAAACATGGGCTAACCACGTTACCACCCTGCTGAAATAATTAAAACACACAAACTTTCAAATAAGTCTAAGGTGGTTTGTTCAGTTTAGCCAGCTTACTGGTTTAACCAGATACACACCAGACAATCCAATTCAGAAGAGTAAACCACCTCAGGCTGCTTTAAGTGTTTTTTCCCCCAGCAGGGATATGCAAGAACCACAGCAAAAAAAAATCTTAACTTCTTTTTAAGTTTTGGTATTGGTAGCCTAATTGATATAACGTTCAGCCGAACTTATCGCTAGGGGGTCGCTTTCATCGCATAGAGAATGTTAGTCATCACAGACACTAGTTTTAATGTATTGATGCCTTACTTGAACCTAACATTGCACGCATAGATAGTCTATAACTGACCGGGGTACATTCTCGTAAACAAATGAAACTAGTTAGCTCGTGAGCGCCCTCTAGAGGCGGGGCTTCGCTGGAACGAAACCAGCACGTGCGAGAAATAGCCGCTCATGTCAGGAGCAGGTGAAGAAGTAGAAAGTCGCAATATGTGTTGATTATTAAACGAAACTGTTTATTTGATTTGACCTAATGATGACTTGACAGGATAAAGGGTGAGCGGGTTATGGGTGAGTAAGTAACTACCGGTCTGTGCCAGACACATGTTAACCGGTGTTACAAATGCATTTCTAAACGAATTACATTTTGCTTGGAATATTTTATGGTATTTTCACAAATTCGGGGTCGTATATTGTATGTCATTCCATCTGTTCGTGTCATACTGATTTGTCTAAAAGGCTTTTAGTGTTTCATTGTACCACATTGTATCTACTACTGACAGTGTTTGTGCGGTTCATCCACGATAAAAATATAGGCTATTCGCGTTTGTGTTGTTACTTTATATTCCACGAATACCTGACTAAATCGTGTCGTTGTCACTGTCATGTAAGTGTTCTCAATATCATCAATGCTGTTCTATACTAGTCACTATACTAACAACACAACAACAAGACTGATCTCATGAATATTTATTAACTCACGCTCTGTACTCGGCTGTTGTGTTACTTAATATTTATGAGCCATATGCCTGATTTTCATTGGACGTATTTTTACGTGTGACCTTTTTTTTTTTAATGACCATATTGTTATTAATTCTTTGATCTAATATGTTGGTGTCATCAAGCTACAAAAGAAAATATTTTAAATCATTTAAATGTACGTATCTTTTTTGTAAAGCTTTCAAATATGCACGAGCACAAATTAACAGCTGAAAATATTTTCATAAGTCTTCAAATTTTATAGTATATTATAAGCACCTGTAAAAACACATAGGTTACGTAATGATGTGTTGCATGGACAGGAGGCGTCTGTTTCGTCCGAAAGGCAGAGGAGATTGATAGAGAGGGCAAAAGGTAGGTGTATCATGCTAGTTTTTATTTGAGCAGTTATGTTTGCTATTCCTTTTTATTGTGCCTATTTATGTCCGTATAGGTGCATATTCAACATTTAAAACTGAATGTTCTTGTTCGGTTGTGTCTAGAAAATTACAGTGTAAACATTTTAGTACTTTTAATGAAACATGCTAAATTAAATATCTGTTAATAAAATATTTTTAAAGTAAAATATGTATAATTTACATGCATGTGCATGCATAAATATGTATGAAGTATAATTAGTGGAGAAAATTCTTATTATTATTTTGTAAAATATTATTTTTTATAAGTAATACTTATTATTTGAGGAAAGGAGCATTCACAAAGTCCTCTACGTGAACAATTATAATTTGTTTGGTTGTGATGAAACATGGTTCTGCAAAATAATGTTTACCTTTCCATCTTTATGGCACACAAATATAAAATTAAAGCCTCTATACACTAGCAAGTGGCGAGGTCAACAATGCTTAATAGGCCTATATCAAAATCTAACATGAAAGTACATTCATTGATATGTTTTACAGTATAATTCTGGTATAGCATTATAATAATAAAGATGTGCTTTTGAGGCCGTTGTATTTTAATAGTACTTGAACATATAATTGGTATTTTAATATATTATACATTTTTCATATAAAGTAGTTCAGTACTGGTTTTTTGGAGGCTTATCATGTTACATCTACATTTAATCAGATTTTATCCGGTTTGTGATATTCTTCTCTATCTGCAGGTATTGATTTGTGGACTAGTCTTTCTGGAATACTTTCCTTTACCAACAGAGTCTAGAATTTGGTTATGGAGGTGTTAGGTGTTTAGGTTACCATTAAATGTTTAATTAATTTAATGTAAATGTACAGCTTTTCTAATTTGCTAGAGACTAAAACTGTGCATGAAAATACTGTTAAGAGTTAGTATGGGTTTGGTTTGGGAATATGTGCTGGACAGAATGTGTTTTTAATACGTTTATAACAGTAATAGCTTTTTTTTATACACTGCAAATGTTTAAATGCATTTTTTAACAGTACATCCTGTTTCTACCGATGTTAAAGTTAGCACTTTCTGAGAAACAAAAAAAAAATATATATAGATTTTGTTGATGACCCAGCGGTCATCCTGACCTGAGTGATCAGATTTTGATTGGTTCAAATTTTCAGACCACTGGTAATGATAGTTCAGAGTCCACCTCATGATCAACTCATGATCAACATTTTGTTTTAGGACTAAATTAAAAGACTTTACTTCTTCAAAATTTCATAGTGGTGTGTGAGTGTGTGTGCTAGAGGAAATTAAATCAGGATAAGAACTGACACCTGACTGTTAAATGAATATAAATCATCTTAGTTTTAGAATTTAAACTGGTAGGTGTTTAACAGCACTGTGACGCAGAGTGAACAGATGTATTTAGTTTCAAGGTAATGTTAAAGAGACCATGAACGTATGATAGAGACCAGTTATTTGTCATAAAACAGAGCCCTATGTAGTAGATGGGGTTAAAAAAAAAAAAAAGAAGCAACCTAATTACTTTTATTGTTTGGTTGACGACGTTTTAATGTTGTCTATGACACAGTTAAAGATTATGGACATACACTTGCTCTAGTCTTCTCTTAAAGGAGAATAATAATCAATCCTCTTAATATGAAAATTTACTCACGCTTAGGCCATCCAAGATGTATATGAGTTTCTTTCTTCATCAGAATAGATTTAGAGAAGTGTGTCATTACATCACTTGTCTAAACGGCTAATACAAACATTTCAATAATCCACACTACTCCAGTCCATCAATGAATGTCTTGTAAAGCTAAAAGACTAAACAAATATCTCATTAAGGCGTTTTTAACTTAAAACCATTGTGCCCGGCTAAATACGAGGCCTCTATCCATAATATTACTTTCTCCAGTGAAAAAATCATCTTCTCTGAATCAGGAGAGAAATATGCACAGATCAAGAGGATAACAGCAGATAGACTTTTTCACTGAAGGAAGCGTTATTATGGATTGGTATTTTGGCAGTACCAGAAATTAAATATGTCTTGATGGATTTGTTTCTTACAAACATACAGCTTTTTACTTCACAATATGTAAGTTGATGGACTGGAGTCATGTGGATTATTTGTGGATTGCTGTGTTTTTCTCAGCTATTTGCAATCTCATTCTGACGGCACCCATTCACTGCAGAGTATCCATTGGTGAGCAAGTGATGTAATGCTAAATTTCTCCAAATCTGTTCCCATTAAGAAACAAACGCATCCACATCTTACTAAGGTTGTGACCGTGAGGAATTTTCCCACCGGGTAATCGACATGTGACAACACCGGTAATACTGGTATCACTGTGGGGGCGTTTTCTCTTTTCCTCGCTTTCCTTTGCTTTTAAATAGTTTGTAAAAGCTGCGTGCTTGCATTTTACTTTCACTTTCAAATAGCGGCAATTCGGCATAAAGCAATTGTTCGTTTTTAGTTCGTTTGAATTTCCCCTCTTATCCTTGCTTTCCTTCGCTTTTAAAGGGGTAATATGATGCTGCTAAAAAGAACATTATTTTGTGTATTTGGTGTAATGAAATGTGTTTGTGGTTTAAGGTTAAAAAAACACATTATTTTCCACATACTGTACACTATTGTTTCTCCTCTATGCCCCGCCTTTCTGAAACGCATCGATTTTTATAAATACTTCAAGCGTGTGACGGAAATGTTATGCCCCTACCATATTGTGATGATGCCCTGTCCGGCCGGAGCGATGATTCAAAAACATGAAAACCCATTATAAACGAGGCATTCGTTGCATCCAGTGGGGACAAAATTTATGGATTACAATGACTTATACTGTCTTTTTACGCGTTGCGTTGCATCGCGCCGCGTAAACATAAAACCATGTCTGTATTTGTGATCGGAGAAATGACAAACAACAAGCGCTACTCTACACTGCTCAAAAAACTCGCTTTAAATATATAAAATATAAAAACTCTTTAAATATAAAAAACTTACTTATAGTCTGTGAGTCAGAACAGCCGGCATTGTAGTCTACTCTACCAGGATCAGGAAACGGTCCTCCATAAAATGCGCTGCACACATCTGAATATTTGGGTTGAAGTGTTCTGGAACAGTGTTGTAAATACAACTTAACCACTGATTTCTAGTCGTGTCCATTTTTGGAAGACCAAACAAAGTAGTTTCACTTTCACAACGAAACACAGCATCACACACGGCGGCCTAGAATGAGCAGAGGCCGGGGGATAAAGTGAGGAATGGCTGGCGGGCTAGAGTGAGCAGAGGCGGCGGATTCGATGAAGGAGCGTCCTCGTAGATATGACGTAGATATGTGGGGGCGTGTTAGAACAAGCCGTTTTAGGTAGGCGTGGCTGACTTAACTTTTATAAAGAATATCTCTTTGGATTTGAGACTTTAGTCTTTGCAACTTTACAGATCTTCTTTATGCACCAAGAGCTTGTAACACTCCAAAGAGAAAGGAAAAATTTAAATCGCATCATATGACCCCTTTAAATCGCTTAAAAGCGCCGTGCACATTTTACTTTCACTTTCGAATTAGCGGCAGTTTGGCATCAATTGCTTGAATGCAACAAAATACAATTTCAAACTCACTTTAGCCTATATATAAAACATAGAACTTTTATTAACAAAACAAATAAAAATACACCATGCTATAGGGCAGGCTATGCCTAATATAAAATAACAATTAACTTACATAAAGTTTAAACAGGTATACAAAACTGGAAATAGGCCAAGTAAAAACATGTGTAATATATACAAATAAATAAGAAACGTAGAACGTTTATTAGCAAAACGAGTAAGAACGCTTGGAGGCATGGTATACACCTTGATGTAAAAATAAATAAATAAATGACACCAAGTTTAAATAAAGTAAAAATCAGCAAACAATGTGGAACCAATTAAATAAGAAGCGAATGTTTAAAAACGCTTCCAAAATCACCTTAGATAAACGGCAAAAGTCAACAGGCTTTTCAAAATCCAAAATATTGCCAAACAGGTGCTTTTGCATCTCGTTTCGAAACTAAATCATCTGCCATCGTCTTGTCTGTCTCACCTCACCTCACTCTTCTTGTCAGTCAGCTCGACTCAAGGCCTCACTGGATAAATGAAATCTGATCTGTGATGCGACTGTCGTGCGGCACGCTGCATTGAGCAGCTGCGTTCAGTTTTTAGTTGTAGTGTCTGTTCTTTTACTGAACTAAATGATTTTTATTACTATAAAAAATAAAAACGACGGTGGGGGTCAGTGACGCGGTGGGCAAGTGACATAACCGGTGTTGCGGCTTAACACCGGTATCACCGTCAACACCGTCTATCGCGGCAAGCCTACATCTTACATGGCCTGAGTCAGTTTTCATTTTTTAGTGAACTATTTATTTAATCTGTCTCTTCAGTGCAATCATGGAAAAGCCCCAAAAGACACAGGAAGAGCCGCAGTTGTCCCCACAGATGGCGGCACCTGATGGGGGTTGGGGCTGGGTGGTGGTGGGGTCTCTTTTCGTGTCTTCTGCCCTGGTGTTCGGGCTCATCCGCAGTCTGGGCGTCTTTTTTGTGGAGTTTGTGCAGTACTTTGGTGAGAGTGCCCAGGCGGTGTCCTGGATAACATCCATTGGCTTGGCCATGCAACAGCTAATGAGTAAGTTCACTCCTTCATGCAAACACAACGTGGTAAAACAACACAGTTTTGCTTCAGCATTCAATTGATTACATATGCCTGCCTGCAGGTCCAATAAGTGCAGCCGCATCTAATGTATATGGAGCTCGTCCGGTTGTTATGATGGGAGGATTCCTCTCAGGCCTGGGATTCATTCTGGCGTCCCAGGCAACATGTCTTTTACATCTTTACCTGACCATGGGATTCATTTCAGGTAGATGCTCTTGTAAAGAGTGTCTTTAATATTAACCAATGTCAGGATCCTGATTCGTGTTTTTACTCCACTAGGTTTAGGTTGGGGGCTGATCTTCACCCCTACCGTTGCGTCAGTGATGCTGTACTTCACCTTGCGGAGATCTCTAGCCATGGGCCTGGGCTTCACAGGCGTCGGACTTGCCTCTTTTGCATTCTCTCCACTTTTTCAGTATCTAGTAGAAGCCTATGCTTGGCGTGGGGCCTTGCTTGTCCTCGGAGGCCTCAGCTTCAACATGATTGCTTGTGGAGCTCTCATTCGGCCTCTAGGGAAACCAAAGGTTGTGGAGAAGGTATGTGTTTTGATATATACAGTGCGTGTATGTGTATATATATATATATATATATATATATATAAATTAATACTTTTGTTCAGCAGAGGTTTTAAATTGATAAAAAGTGACGGAAAATTACATTTATAATGTTTCAAAAGATTTATATTTTAAATAAATGCTGTTGTTTTGAACTTACAGTTAAAGAATAAAAATATTTCCCCAAAAATATTAAGCAGAACAGCTGTTTATCAACTAGGACGCAGAATTTTGCAATGAAAAAAGTGACAGTAAAACATTTATAATGTCCTAAAATATATATTTCACATCAATGTTTCTATTCATCAAACAATCCTGAAAAAATGTATCATTGGTTTCCACAAAAATATTAAGAAGCAAAGCTATTTTCAACATTGCTATTAATAATAATGTTTCTTGAGCATCAAATCATCATGTTGGAATAATTTCTGAAGGATCATGTGACACTGAAGACTGGAGTAATGATGCTGAAAAATAAGCTTTGCCATCACAGGAATAAATTAGATTTTAAAATGTTAAAATTGAAAACAGTTATGACGTCACACAACATATCTATTTAGATTTTTAATCAAATAAATGCATTTTTGGTGTGCATAAGAGACCTTTTTTCAAAAACTTATGGACCCCAAACTTTTGAACAGTATATATTATAAATGTTTATAATATTTCAATTAATTTAAATATTAATTTATTTAACAATTGATGACTACTATATATATTGATACATTTATATTTAATCAAAATAAATGTATTATAATGATTGTTCTGCAGATTAACGTAGAATATATGAGGCTTACTTACTATATTGGCTTGTTTCTTTTTGTGCCGTTCTCAGACTGAAAACTCGACCAAGCTCAACAAATGTTCTTCTTTGTTCTCCCGTATCTACGAGGGCTTTGAGCTCTCTCTGCTTTCACACCGAGGCTTCCTCACTTATTCCTTGGCCATCACCTTATTCAATGCCGGCTACTTCATCCCTTATGTTCATCTGGTCGCCCACAGCCGTCACATTGGTTTCACTGAGTACCAGGCAGCCTTTGTAATCTCTGTAACTGGTGTGGCAGACATCGTGAGCCGCGTAGCCTCCGGCTGGTTCTCGGACCTGGGCAAAATGCGGATGCAGCACATGCTGGTGGTGTGGACTGGGTTACTGGGGCTCTCTCTGATGCTCATTCCTGTTGCCATGGTTTACTCGGGACTGTTGGTTGTCAGTGGGGTCTATGGGTTTTGTGCAGGAGCGATGACGCCACTGGCGTTCGCGGTGGTGCCGGAAATCGTAGGTATAGAGCGAATGCTGGGAGCCCTTGGCCTGCTGCAGCTCATAGAGAGTGTCGGAGGGCTGCTGGGAGCGCCACTGTCTGGTAGGAGCTCATGAGATCATCACAATAGTTTTATTTAAAGGAAATGTTCACTCAAAAATGAAAATTTGCTGAAAATCACCCTCATACCATCCAAGATGTAGATACGTTTGTTTCTTCATTGAACAAATTTGGAGAAATTAAGCATTGCATCACTTGCTCACCAATGGATCCTCGGCAGTGAATGGGTGCCGTCAGAATGAGAGCTGATGAAAACATCACAATAATCCACATGACTCCAATTTGTCTTGTGAAGTGAAAAGCTGGAGGTTTGTAGGAAACAAATCCAACATTAACACATTTTAAACCTAAAACTGTTGCTTCCGACTAAAATATGAGTCCTCTATCCATAACATTGCTCACTCCAGTAAAAAAAAAAAAGGTCTTGTCTGAATCATGAGAGAAATATGCTCAGATCAAGCACTGTTACAAGCAAACAGTTATAAACATTTCAAAACAAATATGTTGGTACATTTTGATGTGAGTGGACAACAGCGGATGGAATTTCTGGAGGAGGCATTATTATGGATTTTGGACTCATATTTTAGCCTAAAATGACGCTTTAAATTTAAAATGCCTTAAAGATGGATTTGTTATGAACACAGAGCTTTTCACTTCACAAGAAGTTAATTGATGGACTGGAGTTGTGTGGATGCTTATGGATTATTGTGATGTTTTTATCAGCTGTTTGGACTCTCATTCTGACGTCACCCATTCACTGCAGAGGATCCATTATTGAGCAAGTGATATAATGCCAAATTCCTCCAAATCTGTTCCCGTGAAGAAACAAACTCATCTAAATCTTATATGGCCTGAGGATAAGTACATTTTCAGTAAATATTCATTTTTGGTTGAACTATTCCTGTAAAAGGCCAACAAAATTGATTTTGATCTTTAGGTTTACAATCAGCATTGAAATGATTGTGCCATCTCCATTTTTCCCTCCCAGGCTGGCTGAAGGACTATACAGGGATGTACACGGTATCTTTTATCGCTGCTGGAAGTTTCCTCGTGTTAGGTATGTTAGTTACAATGACTCTTCCCTATTTCTGGTCTTGTACGGCCCCTCCACCCCCATCACCTTTAAAGAAGAAATCTCAGCATGAATCCATTGAAGATGGACTTCTCAAACAAACTCTGTCCTCAAATTCTGTACCTGAGATACCCTGTCTATTGGATGATATACCCTACTTGGATAAGGAGTAAAAGGTGTGTTGGAAGAGTGATGTTACACATCTAGTGCAAGAATGAGAAGAAATACCTCAGGAAATGATGCATCATACTAATTTAGGGAAACTATTTAGATTTTTTAGAAGGATATTTTGCATTGTCAGACAGGATATAGGCAACTATTGGCATTGGAATCACAAATCATATTGCACTGAATGGTTTTATACCACATTTTGCAGTAAAACTTTTTGTGGGTAATTTCAGCTAGTGAAATATCCCCCAATGCCAAAGAAAAATTATGTGAAATTTGCTATTAGTGCTTTTCGCCTAATAACAAGACAATCAATTTGATGGAAGTTTTGAGAGAGTTTGAAAAGCAACAGTCAGTTTACATCTCAAATTTCCAGCTAGCCTAGCGTATATATAGTTCAGAACAAATCTGTCTTAATGTTAAATCTGGATTGTTTACTCATTCCTTATATATACAAGTAGGCACACACGTTTTTGAACATGCAACGAAAATGATTGCACTTCAAAAGTTGTATAACAGGACAATAGCAGCATAAATCCTTATCATGACGTAAATGCAGTAAAGTAACTGTGCAGTTATCAAGACCAGCTTTTCTTTTTGATTAGATAATAATGGCATTTTACGGTTGCCACAGTCAGACACCACAGCTGCAGCTGTAAAGTGTTATTTTAGTATAATTTAGTTACTATTATAGTTTTTATATTTTCAGTTTTCATTTTATTTAGCTTTACTGATCAATCAACAGTATCTTTACTGCAACTGTATCTATATCCTGATGTGGAGCTAATCTTTCTTAGACTTTCAAAATATGCAAAAAGTTTGCGTTTGGAAAGCTGTCAGTGCTCGTTCTAAAAAGGCCATCTTTATAGTTATACAAATAATTTTAGAGATACTTTATTAATAGCTCTAGTATTTTTCTGTTCTGAAATCATTATCTTTTTTATTAAAAAATATATTACATTGAATTAAATCATTATTAATGTAAATTAAATTATTTTATTATTTTAATTTTTTAAATATTGTCAGTTTTCCCTTGCCAATTCAAAATCACCATCAAATAAGGATTTGTGCTGATATTGTCCAAATACCCCACTTTGACTTGACCGTTTCTGAATTTGAGGGCACAGTAGCAGCTGTAAAGTGTTATTTTAGTATAATTTAGTTACTATTATAGTTTTTATATTTTCAGTTTTCATTTTATTTAGCTTTACTGATCAATCAACAGTATCTTTACTGCAACTGTATCTATATCCTGATGTGGAGCTAATCTTTCTTAGACTTTCAAAATATGCAAAAAGTTTGCGTTTGGAAAGCTGTCAGTGCTCGTTCTAAAAAGGCCATCTTTATAGTTATACAAATAATTTTAGAGATACTTTATTAATAGCTCTAGTATTTTTCTGTTCTGAAATCATTATCTTTTTTATTAAAAAAATATATTACATTGAATTAAATCATTATTAATGTAAATTAAATTATTTCATTATTTTAATTTTTTAAATATTGTCAGTTTTCCCTTGCCAATTCAAAATCACCATCAAATAAGGATTTGTGCTGATATTGTCCAAATACCCCACTTTGACTTTGACCGTTTCTGAATTTGAGGGCACAGTATATTAAATACCATGGTATAACACTGTACCTTGGTAGTGCCATGTTACTATTTCTAAGAGTATGCCGGCAAAATACTATTTATTTTAACTGATTGTTTTTAATATATTATTACAATTTTTATATTGTAAATTATTGTGACACACTTCACCTCCGGCCTTCCCTGACAGGAATTTAATTATGATGCACAAATACAGCTTCAGGGTTTGGTGGAAAGACGGATGCTTGTGATTTTTACTGTTACTGAGGAGCATTTTGTATTCATGTCTAGTAAAACATGAAGGCTGCTAGCAAGAATTTTCTAACCAGCTTTTAACTGCTTAGTCATCATCACATATCTGTCACATCAAGCAAAAGCTAAAATGAAGGCAAAACATTTTCTTTTGCCAGTAAGTTTGGTGCTGGAGGCTACTTTAGTACAGTAAACAAAAGCAGGAAGGCAAGCTAAATGCTAACACAATGCTAATCCTGTTCTGCTCATGTAGAGCATTTTTCTTTCACTTTTTTTTTTTTTACACACAACTTGCTGTACCTTACCTTGTTCTTGAGTTGCGTATGGAGGAATATGATGATCACACATGTTAATGTTACTAGCATTGTCGGAGACATGTCATTTTAATGTTGTCTTTTCAGGGTCAAACTGGACCATGTGATTTGTGTATTACATTGATACTTTTTTAAATCTTGTATGATGGGAATCTTGCCCAACATAAAGGGCTTTTACTGTGATCTTCAAGATCCAGGGTTCAGAGTGAATATTGACTTACATTTTCCACCGAGGTCGCTGACGTAAACAAATTCACTTAGAAATCATTGACCAAACTAAAGTCTTTGTGTTACACATTACTTTCTTCAGCGCCTTTTTGTTTTCATTGTAAATGTTTATTTCACTTAGTGCAAGAGCTTTACTGTGCACAAACTGGTGTAGGTTCATTTAAACCTCGTCAGTTCTCTACTTCCCATGGGAAAACCTTGAATACTAGTCACTAATGCTGTTTTAAAGATACACTTCTCATAGAACCAAACACGTGAGCCTGAGAGTCGATGAGCTCTGCTACAGCTCGACTTTGCTTTCTCATGTGTGAGGCCCTTATTGCTGTGAGATTAACAGCACTGCCTTTACACACGGTTGTCTTCAAATGCACTGTATTAATGCAATTATACATGCTCTTTAGCCTATTGACCTCAATATGCTTGCATATATGAGAAGTGAGACTTGGATGAATTTGGATCAGTTAAGTCATATTTTATAGCTTTGGAACTACACTGCACAAGATGACTTTTGATCTAATTAAAAGGTTGAATGGAATTTGCCATCTGAGCCAGTCGGATAGTTTTACCTTTTACCTTTAATCAAGTTACCAGCCCATATCTTGTGCGTTATGTTTTAATTTTCCAAGAAGCGCACAGCATGGCAAGACAGGTTTTACTGGAACAGTACAGTATAAAACTGTGTTTTAGGTAAACCGATTTGTGTTTTAATGTGGTTGAATAAAAGGCTATTTCTGCTTTTAATTGTACTATTGTCTCCTTGTGTATATATGGGCGTTTCTTCAACTAGGTGCACTTTTATCCTTGTGAAGTTGAATAAAAAAAACTTGTTCAAAAGTCACGTAACACAGTCTCATAAGTTTAAATAATTTGTCTAGTTTTAAGGTCTGTAAGAGGACAAACGTAGATTACAAGAGGAATTGTTAATATTTTACATTTTTTCCAACCTGCAAAGAACGAATGTCATTTCCACCACATCTCAATATACAGCTGTTATTTAAAAATAGAATAACTTATGCCACTCAAGAATTGTCTAAGATCATTTTTGTAACTAGTTTTACCAGTTTTTCCACAATGTACAATGATTATACATTTGTCAATGAGACTATGAAATGTAATATTGGTTTGGGTAAGAGCTTATTAGAAAATAAATACCTTGAATTTTTATATTAAGTAGAGCATGATCTCATAAATTGTGGATACATTTTTAATGTGTGATGAGAACTTTTTAAATATTTCTTAAAAATGTGTGTGGTGATGGAAATGACAGGGTGTTGTGGAAATGACAATGAATTAACGTGAATGTAGAGAAACAGTAGAGATATTTATTAGAAAAATTCTTAAACTCATCACACTCATTAAACTCAATTCACAAAG